AGAGGAGTGGTAATAGTGGGCATCCTTGTTTTGTTCCTGATTTTAACATGAAGGTTTTCAGTTTTTGGCCATTTAATATGATGTTGGCTGTTGTTTTTTCATAGCCTTTATCAAGTTGAGATAAAGATCATCTATTCCAATTTTCTGCAGGGTTTTTATCATGAATGGGTGTTGAATTTTGTCAACTGCCTTTTCTACATCTATAGAGATGATCATATAGTTTTTGTTCTTGACTCTGTTAATATAATGTATTACATTTATTGATTTACGTATGTTCAACCATCCTTGCATCCCTGGAATAAATCTGATTTGGTCAGTGTATATGATCTTCTTGATGACCCTGTGTATTCTTTTTGCCAGTATCTTACTGAGGATTTTTGCATCTATGTTTATTAGAGAGATTGGCATGTAGTTCTCTTTTTTGGTTGGGTCTTTCCCTCATTTTGGAATTAAAGTAACCCCTGCTTCCAGAAATGAATTTAGAAGTATTGCTTCCCTTTCAATTTCATTGACAAGTTTAGAGAGTAGTGGTGGTAATTCTTCTCTAAAGGTCTTGCAGAATTCAGTAGCGAAGCCATCAGGACTGGGCTTTTCTTTATTGGCAAATTTTTAATTATATTTTCAATTTCACTGATTGTAATTGGGGTGTTTAGAATATATATTTATCTTCTTTGTTCAACTTTGGTAATTCTTAAGTATATAGAAATCTGTCCAATTCTGTGTTTTCTATTTTATTTGAGTACAGGTTCTCAAAGTAGGTATTGATGATTCTCTGGAATTCTGCTGGATATGTTGTGACTTCACCTTTTTCATTCCTAGTTGCATGGATTTGAGCCTCTTCTTTTCTTTTTTTGACAAGGTTCGCTAAGGGTTTGTCGATTTGCTTTATTCTTTCGAAAAACTAACTCTTTGATTTATTGATTTTTTGGTGTCCTTCTCTTAGTCTCCATTGCACTGATTTTTGCTCTGATCTTTATAATTTCCTCCAATGTACAAGCTTTGGGATTTTCTTGCTCTTCTTTTTCTAGGAGCCTAAGATTCATTATTAGGTTGTTTAGTTGAGCTTGCTCTGTTTTCCTAATGTGGGCATTCACTGCTGTGAATTTTCCACGTACAACTGCTTTCATTGTTTCCCATAGATTCCTGTATGGTTTATTGGCAATATCATTTATTTGTTAAAAACTGACTAATTTCTTCAATTTTCCCTGTGACCGATTGATTGTTCAGGAAAGTATTGTTCAATTTCCATGTACTTGTGAAGTTCTTGCAGTTTCTTATGCTATTGATCTGCAGTTTAATTGCACTATGGTCTGATAATATACATGGGATAACTTCAGTTCCTTTGCATTTATTTAAACATGTTCTATGAGGTAGTATGTGATCTATTTTGGAGAATGAGCCACGTGCAGTCAAAAAGAATGTAGATTCTGATTTTGTTTACTGGAACACTCTGCAGACATCTTTTAAGTCCACTTGTTCAAAATATTAGTTTAGTTCTAGTATTTTGTTGTTGATTTTTTTCTCACAATTATCTATTTGTGACAGTGGCGTTTTGAGGTCCCACACTACAACTATATTAGTGTTTATTTGGTTTTTCATGTCCCTTAATATTTGTTGTTTGTAGTTGAGGGCATTAATATTTGGTGCATATATATTTATGATTGTCATCTCTTCCTCTTGGATTCTTCCCTTTACAAGGAGTAGTGACCTTCTTTTTCCCTCTTAATTAGTTTTGGTTTGAAATTTACTTTGTCAATAAGATAGCTACCCCTGCTTTTTTCCAGGCTCCTGACTCGTGGAGAACTGTTTTCCATTGTTTTACTTTCAGTCTATGAGTTTCTTTTTGAACTAGGTGTGTTTCTTATATACAACATATTGCTCTGTTTGGCAAGTTTTCTGTCATTAATTCTGTGAACAGTTTTTTTTTTTTTATGTCTTTTGCACTTTTTCCTGCTACTTCATGGATTCCTATCAGTATTACATTATTCTTTGCATCATCTAGGAGTTGTTGGATCGATTTCTCATGATCCCTTTCTGTTTTTATGAGCACTCTCTTTTCATGGTCACTGACCATAATCCTGTCTCTTACAGTGAAATTCTGTCTTCATATTTGTTCAATCTGCTGCAAATGCTTTTTATAAAGTTTTTAATCTCTGGATATCTGTTTGAATCTGTTTCATGGATTCCTTTTCTTTCCTATGTTGGGTATTGATGCTTCTGTCATGGTTCTGAACTCATCTATTTTTTTTCCTGTTTCTGATCTAGAGTTTCTAATCATATCATTCATTGTGTGCACCACCTCTCTAGTTATCTTGGAAATTATTTCTGTTTTGAATTTTTCTAGCCCTGACTGATCTGTTTTGTTACTTTTTGTGCTATTAGTTCAGAGTGACCTGGTAGTTCACTGTCAGGCTTTTCCACATTATTTTCCCTAGAATTTGCCATTGGGGAACTGGAAACCTGTATTTTTGCCTTGCTTATGTTTTTTCTCATTTTTAATTTTATTTTTGATACTATCCTTGGTTTAATTCCTGGGTTAGTACTTTGATCTTCCTGGTACAGATGCTCTTTTGGTTTGAGTCGCTAATGACTCAGGTACACTCTCATTTTCATAATATTGGAAAGAACAATTTGTCAACTCAGTGATCACCCTTTAGCCCAACAGATACAATCAGCAACACAAGAGTATCAAGCACAGCTTAGAAATTGACAATTTCTGGTAGTTTCTAATCTATCACCTTCAACCATGTGAATTAAATCAAAATTAAAGATCAGCCCAGAATATATAGTGAATAAACTCTTCAGTATTGCAACTGTACTCTTCAGGATGGGGACGTAGAAGGAGTTGGGAGGAGAGGAATAAATAGGTAGAAGGATTGAAGGTTTCAAGTGAAGCCTGAGGACACAGGATGATCTCACAAACTCTAGGAAACTGTTGAAGACAAGAGGGAAAGAATGAGTGCAAGAACAAAGACAAGAATAGAACAACTTAACAGTAATAGGGAAGCTATAAATTGCACTCATTTTCCTTTAAAACTAATGATAATCAAGAGAGGGAAAAAGAGAGAAGAAAAGAAAAAGAAAGAAGAAATCTGAATTAGAGCAAGAGCAGGAACAAAAAGGAAGATGAACAATGTGGGGAAGCAAGAGATTGGGGGAAAAAGAAGAAAAAAAGAAGTATAATGGGAAAAAATAAAATTTAAAAAATAAAAATTATAAATTAAAAATAAGAGGAAAAGAAATAAAAAAGTTTGAAGGGCCTGCTTCAGGGTATATCTCTGCTGTCACAATAGAAAATGTGGGCAGCAATGAGCAAAACTAAGTCAATTAGTCTCAGCAGCCAATGGCAGACCCCTAAGATTCAGAGTGAATTCTGGTTGCAAGGCCCAAGCTGAGCTTCCTGACCTCCTGTTTAGTTAAATTCTGTAAGGTTCTGTGGCACGTTCCAGCTGCCCTTCCCCTGAAAATAGTCCATTTGTAGTGGAAGGTGGTGATCCCCTCAACTTATCAACTACAGGGGTCTGACGTGCCTTTATTGCAGTTGTTTGCTTCCATTCTATCTCCTGGAGCTCAGTGCAATGGCCTTTATGATCATCTGTGCCTCTGCAATGTGGATCCAGGTACTGGCACAACCAGGAGGCCTGAGAGTGGGGTGGTGGTGCTGCAGGGACACCCGTGTGGCTGGGCAGTCCTCACTGGCCCACTCTGATGAAGGCTCAGGGTTCTGGAGGGTTGGGGATCAGCCTAGTTTCTCACATTGGCTGGGCAGTCCTCACAGATCTGTTCTGTTAAAGGCCTGGGGTGCTGGAGGGTAGGGGAGCAGCCTGTCTCCATGCATTGGGTGGGCAGGTCCTCACTGGTCTCCAGTTTTGTTGTCTTGCTCATTCACTTAACACATTTTGACTATAATCTGCCATCATATTTTTCAAATATTTGTTTTAATGGTTGTGTTTTGCTTTGTTGCATTTTTTTTGTATGTGAAAATAAAATTCACTTATGTACTCAGTTAAAATTCTGGTATTTACTCATTCTTCCTTCTTTTTTTTTGCATCAATAACTGAGCTGTTCAAAGATCTATCCAAGTGATCTATGCAAAACTATGTACATGAAACCTGTATTTAAATGTCTTTGTGTTTCCTTACAATAGATTAAAAACTTTTTGGATATTTAGCATGAGTGGGTACTTCTACCAAAAAAGTGTGAAAAATTCTATTTTTACCCTTGCTGCAGAGATTAGTTTTCTTAAATTCCATATTTTTAACAGGAAAATTGTATTTGTTTTATGAAATTTATATTTCTTTATTCACTAATTGGGGTTAAATTTTTATTGCTTATAAACTGTATTTTCCTTCTCCTGATTTCATTATCACTTATGTATTAATTCAAAAGTCAATAGGTTTATTATTCATATTGAGGAACTTCTTTGTATAGTAAAGGCAATTTTATTAAGATATCTTTCTGTGTAATTAATTGCCCTTTAATTAATTTATAATATTTTGAAATATAGGAGTAGCAGAAGTTTTTAGTAAATCTTATTTTTTTCTTTTAGATATTTTTATTTGAGAGTTTTTCTTCCATATTTTGGAGTGATCTTTCTTATTGAAGTAGATGAATCTATCCTTTTTTTAGTATTTGTGTTAGTTTAAAAACAGTTCAGTTCTTTAGTACACCTCAAACTTATTTTAATTGATGATATGAAGAAATAATATAACCTGAACTTTCCTTTAACAGTGTATACTAAGTATATACACAATTTGTATATACACAGTCAGTATATGTATGTGTATTTAGTAATGTGAGTACAATGTACATTTAGCTATAAAGCATGTACTGTTAGGTCTGTTAGATTGTGTTATGTACATTTTTATGTGAATTGATCATAGATAATTATCTATTAATATCATATCATTTCAAAATTTATAGTTGTTCTATTCAACATTTTTCTAATTTCTAGTTGGAAAAGCCATTGCTAATACTATTTTGTGAACTTCATCAAATAGGTTTACCAGAACCCAAAAGAGACCTTATCTTCCAAGACCTGACACAAGACCAGGGGTTTTACACATCTAAAGACTTTTTGCCACTTGTAGCAAAAAGCAGCAAAGCAGGTAAAATGCATTGCCTTATTTTCTTAACATTGTCTATTTTGTTTCTTATATTGTAAGTTTGCATTACATTCAAGCTCGGTAGGACATTGATCATATCTCAGATGGATAATTGAGTAGATGGGACCAATAATTTATAAAAAAGACTGGCATTACAGAATTATGTGTTTGTTCAGTCTCACAAGAAAGCATCACAATAAGGAATTTTTATTAATATATATATATGTATATATATTTCATCATTTAAAAATTCAAATAAAAATACTTTAATGAGCACTGGAAGTTTTTCTTGAATAAAATTGTTGGAGCTTCATTTTGGGAACTATGAATGTTCACATATATAATTTTTTGCAATGCAGTCAGAAAGATCAAGAACTCTATTGGAACATTAATTTTATGAAGATAAACGATAACATATGCATATAATATATAACAATTCATATGCTGAGATAAAATAATCTAAAGCTGAGACTGTCAGGTTTTGTTTTGCCTAAAGTCATTGTCTTAGTGATAAAGAGGCTGGAGTATTGTTTTTAGTTGAATAGTCTCGATCCTCTAAATGTATTTTTTAAAAACTCTGATATACAGCCATTCCTACATCCAGTTACATGTGGAAATTATTAAAACTTAAATTTTCTCTCAAACATTAAAAAGGCAAGAAGTTCACAGCTGAAGATGCTTGCCTTCTCCACTTTCCTCCCCAGAGCAGTAGACCCTTATGTATCTGCCAGCATTTCATAGGAGAGTCGAGTATATATTCGAGCATGGAGTTTATATTTGAGAATCACAGAGTGCCAATTGTCTTATTCCAAATACAAACTCTTCCAAGCAAAATGATTACACTTATTGAGATTATAGGCCCATCTATGGAGTCATTTTTAAAATTATAGTAATTTATTTTAGCAACATCTTTATTTAATATGATAGTCTATTACATAGAGAATACCTCTGTGGTTCTTCGTGTGGATATCAAAATTTCATATAGGTGTTTAAGAAATGGACTCTTAGAAAGTCATATTTCCTTATTGCTCAATTTCATCAACAAAGCCAAAGGAAAACAGTATAAATGAGAAAGCTTTATTTTAGCTATTTCAAGAAAATAATGCTTTCTCAAAATGTTAATGTTAAATTTGTTGCATATAATATGTAGTAAAAGTATAGCTTAGAAATTGTGTAACAAATCAATTAAATATTTTAATGAAATGTTGAAATTATTAACCCAGATCACAAGAATCACTTTTCTTCTAAAAAAACAGCAATGAGTGATGCATAGGTAAAACATTTATCACAACTTTGACAAAGATAATTTTAATAGTTTCACTGCAGTTTATTATGACCTAAAAAAATCTTCAAAATATATTGTAGCAATCCTTCCAGAGGAAGAAAAGAAGCTAAAGGTAGTGACTATGAAATTACATATATGAGCATATTTTTAAAATGGGAATAAAACTGTCTTTCAATGAAGCAGAATAATTTGATAGTGACACTCCATCCTGGAAAACTGCAAGATGCAATTTTACACTGCTTTGAGTACAAGTATCTTTTGAGCTGTCATGCAGAAATGGTTTCTCTACTTGAAAATGGGGTTTTCCTTTCATCATTCAGGAATGTGCGCCTGTCACTCTCCATTGCCGTCGATACGGGGAGCCGTGATTGTACTCGGAGCTGGAGACACTGCCTTTGACTGTGCCACGTCTGCTCTACGTTGTGGAGCCCGCCGCGTGTCCATCGTCTTCAGGAAAGGCTTTGTTAATATAAGAGCTGTCCCCGAAGAGGTAAAATGGAGCTTTCAAGAAACATGGATTTGTAATCCAGCAGATTTTCGTAGATGAAGCCATTAGTAATCAGTCCTCACTTTTAAATAATTAGACTGTTTGTGAAATTGTCAAATGCAAAGTTTTGAAATCTCAGGACTACAAGAAGTCCATTTTTTTTTTTAATTCAGACATTCTGTACAAAATAAAATGTATAATACAGTTTTGGACAAAATGGGATGTCAATGCATTTGGTCAAAATAGTGCATTTTTGTTCAGAATTAATATTTTTGAAATTTATCCTATTTAACTAGCAATAGTTGAATATGCTGTTTTTTACATCCTGAACAATAGGTGTTTTTCACAAAACATACAGAAATTAAAAGAATATCAAAAACACATTTGAGGTTTTCCATGAGTGGAATTGATAAGCATCATTGAAATTTATGTAGATAATATAACACTATTCATAGTACAATCATGTATGTATAAGAATGTGTATGTATAATGTATCTATTTTTGTATGCACTTTGGTCATATAGTAAATTTATTCTATTGTGCAACAAATATAACATTATTACTGTATATTTTAAAAGCATTCTAATATGAGCATTATTCAGATTCAATAATTAGTTAAATTAGTAAAAATGATTTAAATCATTTCATTCTGACAAATGACTGGTGACTAGTGTTAGGTGAGGCATCACCCAAGCTGGTTACATGTTCTATAGACCTCTCAAATTTTAATGCTGTTAGAGAAGGATAATGCCTAATAAAGGATATTAGTTCTGAGAATAAGAACAAAATGTATTTACAGAAAGATAAATTACTCATTTCATTCAAATTGGTAATATGATTTGATTTAGTTTAGAATGCCTGAACTTGTTTGGAGTCTCTATACCAGGCAAGAGTCACAACTATAGTCAATAGATAATTTGTCACATGTAGATTAATCACATTACAGATTAATCTCACTATATTATCAGCGCTGTCACTGGTTCACGCCTGAGTTTCAAATATCATTTTTATACCCTGAGTTTTTTTTTTTTTAATGCAATCTGCCCTTTTAGGCTTTCCAAAAAACTCAGATAGGGCCAGAGATTTAGCTCAATGTTGTCACCGCTTGCTTCACAAGCCCAAGAATCTGAATTCAATCCCTGGTACCAAAAAAAAAAAAAAAAAAAAAAAAAAAACACTCAAAGGTGATCTGATAATCATAGGATTTTTTTTTCTGGCATGCACTTTTAGGCTTTAATTGGCACAGGTATGTCATTTAAAAGAAAAAGAAAACAGCCATATTTGAATTTGAATTAGGAGACATGATGAAATTAAAAGAAAAGAGGGGTAGATTTTTACCCAACTTTATATCTGTACAAAGCTCTAGACGTAGAAAAGAAAAAGTAGTTGTAAACTGTTTTCACTTAAATATTTTAAGTCTTGTTCATCTGATTTCTAATTCTGAAAAGTTTTCATTCCAAAAGACTGATCCTTGAGGTTTGGAAGTGGAAGATAACTTTAAATAATAATATCAATTTATTTTACACTTTATACCACAGTTATCTTCCACTAGCACCGGGGACTAGAAATGAATGATAGCTGTTTCTTCTGACTTACAATGAAAATACAAAAACTGCAACTGGATAATTACTTAAGAAAAGAGAAGCAATCACATATATTTATTCACCCTACACTGATCGGCTACCTGTTATATATAGGCATTATTCTAGGTTCTCTTCTACTTTATAGAATTTCATGACCTCGTGGACTTTCTGCTGCGGGAAGACTCCCAAATGAATTGTCACATTAACAGTGTATTGAAAGTTAATTAGTTATTTGGTTATCTGTATTAGTGTGGAAGCATAATGTGTGTGTGTGTGTGTGTGTGTGTGTGTGCGCACGCGTGCGCATTGGGGTGAAAAAACATTGCAAAAGAAAGTAGGCATCCAAGAAAAAAAAAAACCACATTATAGGCCAAAGTGCATTCACCCTTGATTGAGAAATTTGAGAACAAGGGAAAAAGTCAGTATGGTACCACTTTGAAAGAGAGGAGTATGTTACAGTTTGTGATAGTTTTGGAGCTGTTTATTATGCCTTTAGTTCCCTTTTATTCTCAATAAAAGAGAACACCATGATACTGTTTTGAGCCAGGAATCACTAAGATCTGAATTTTGAGATCGTTACTCCCGAGTGTTTTGACTATGGAAGGTGTAGTAGTGCCAGAAGCAAGTGGGCTAGTCAGTAGCTGATTAAAAATCTGGTCAGTGCGACTAGAGTGCAGGAAGGAAAGAGTCAGAGTCTTGGCATAGCATTGTAAAACTGGAGAGTTCAGTGGGCTGAATAGTGGCTAACGAAGTGCTGGGAAGACAGCATGAGTCATGGATATAACAGACTGCCTCTATAAAGCAGAATTTCTGTAGAACTCAAGTTAAGTTAAGGCCAAAGGAACAAATGCTTGAATGGTTCTGTATTATTAGTTTATAAGAAAGTGAACTTTTTGTGTTTTAAAAACTACTTGACCTTGATATCCATGACATTGATGGCTAAGGCCATCTGTCTTCATCACTTTTATCTTCTCTTTTGCTTATTAGAGTGATTGTCATATATAAAGTTCCACAAATAATTGTAGAATTAAAGTTTTCTGTAAAAAATAAGCATCCAGGTCTTTTAGTATTCACTTTATAGTTTAGACAAATGGTACATATGTAGACCCTTGATGATTCACTTGCTAATTTCATATAAAAGAGAAGGAATTTTAGGCAATGTATTATCAGAGTGTGCAAAGATTTCCAGGCTGTATTAGCGGATATTTATGTTTATTTAGGAGTACAGATTTCCAGTGCTTATAGAGCTTGCTCTATTTATCTATTATAAACATTACATAAATTTGTAATCCTCCAAATAGGGGGCAGTATATTTGTGCTTAACACTTATGAATCTGATAAGTCAAAAGTGTGGAAATCAAAAATCATGTATCTCTTCAATACTAGTTTTGAGATGTTATGTTCTGAGACACTTTCTTGGGGAGTACTAGAGATCAGACCCATGGCCTCATGCATATTAGGCAAGAACTCTTCCTCTGAGCCATATTCCCTGTCCTTTTTAATTTTCATTTCGAGGCAGTGTCTTTCTATGTTTCCCAACCTGACCTTGAATTTGTGATCCTTCCAAGTAACTGGTATTATAGACATGTGCTAGCATGCCGAGCTAATGTAAGGCATAGTTTAATCAATATGAGAAATTTAATAGTGTACCAAAATCCTTCATATTTCTCTAGTTTCCCCTATGCTTTGCTCTCCAAACACATAATTCTTCACCCACACTTGGTTTTTCTAAAGTCAGTGAAGAATGAGGAACAGGGACATTTAGAGTTTTTTTTTCCTCAAACATGTATACTGTTTAACTCTCTTGGAATCTTAGGTAGAATTTGAAAATAACATGACTTGTCCATTAGTAAATTACCTCACCATTTGGCAAGTCACTATGTATATATCTAAAATTGTGATATTCCTGTTTTTAGACAGAAAGAAATGCAGAACAGTAAGATATTTCTTAAGCTTTAGTAGCAAATAAGACTTATTACAGAGGCCAGGTATATTGAGCCTGGATCATAGTTAGGAACCAAGAACAATGTGACTGGTTCTACAAAAAGAGGCACAGCTCAACAGACCCTGAAGTAATCAAACATCACATTTCTCTAATTCAGGTTTTCAAATTTCATTGTGCGTTGCTGGTAAGCACAAGTTGCTGGCCCTATTGTCACAGTTTCTGGTTCAGCAGGTCTGGGTCGGCCAGAGAATTTGCATTTTTTCTTTTTT